AAAAAAGAGGTTGTTATCTTAAATTCAACATAACTTTGATTTAAATATAGTTTAAAGGTATTTAAGCTTATGCTTATTTTGTAATACCGTTCTGCACGTACCTTGAACTTGACGATTCGCCAAATTTGCACACCAACTTTCTCTCCAGCTCCTTGCCAAGCCTTTTCTGTTTCAGCAGATTCTCTCTTCAGCTGTTTAACAGCAAGTAATAAAGGAAATTGAGCAGAGAAACAAAAGCAACAGACACATGCTGACCACTGTCGAGGTCCAGGGCACAACAACATCGAGTAACTACTAGCTGAATTTATTACTGCCTCTTACGTTTTTCTCAAGGTCGGAGCCAAACAAGGACAAATTGCTGTCTTTCCAGTCATAATGCTTGGCTTTCACGAGACCAGACATGGCTAGGCTTCACTTGTGAGCAATCTGAAGTTCAGCTCTGCAAGCCAGTAAATTATTGTGCGAGAAGACACACCTTCAAAAATATTTTAACATCTGAAGAACATAACATACCTGATTGGCTGGCGAGCACTAATAAATTATTGTCGGTATTTGTCACGCCTTCCTTCTAGTCTCTTCGTACTGCTTCCCCTGACTGCTTCTAGGACATCACAGGCAACACGGAGACCAAACAGACTTTTTTGCTATTTTGACGAAATTAGGAAACTGGTGAACCCTCGCATACGTTGAATTGATGAAGTTAAATGGAGAGACGCAAGGAAGGGGAGTAGCTAGACGGAATACTGAATCCCAGTACTGCACGGGGAACACTCGGAGGCCCCTGGGGACCGACCCGAGACCAAATTCTCCGGAATCTTCAGGCTCTTTGGTCAGCAGTCGGTCACCATCCAAATTAGAAACGTGGTGTAGGTGTAATTGTTTAGCGATCAAAAAGCGGTCTGCAAGAAACTTTTGTTACACCCTGATGTAACTCATTTCGTTTATAACATTCATTCGGTATATGAAGTCATCCAAGCCCATTTATTACAATATAGTGAATTTTTTTAAAATATTACAATGTTAAATAGCTCGGGGTGGACATTGGGTGAGAGAGGACTAGGACCGAAGTTAGTTTGAGCAGCTGTCCATGTGACTGCACCACCGGACGCTTATTGTGCCACGTCTCAGAAAGAAGCGGTTATCCCCAGTTGAATTGAGTTTTTGTGTCTAGAAGTGTTTGTAGAGTCGTCCGATCTCCGTAGAAAAGGTACAAGAACCAAAGATACGTTTGATTTCTGGGCCAAACTTTCCGAAATGTGGCAGAAGTACGGCCTTCTTTGTTGCTTTGTGATCGCGTTCGCTGTTCTTTGCGTGGCTCCTCCAGTTCGGAAAGACAGAAAGAAGGCAGACAACGAATCGGAAGGGAAAGGCGATCCAGAGTATGCTAGATATCTGAAACAAGTGATTGAAATTTTAGAAAATGATGATGACTACGTCAAAAGATTACTAAACGCTTCTGACGAAGAACTAAGAACTGGGCGAGTGGCCGATGACATAGACCTTGTAAAACATGATGTAAGGACCAAGCTAGATGAACTAAAACGACAGGAAGTGGAAAGACAACGAATGATACGACGACAAATGAACGATCACTTGAATGGGCTGAAGGAAAGGGAGTATTGGAATCCGCTGTTTGATGACGATAATCCCAATTTCTTTGGGCCTGAGGATTTTAAAAAGCTACTGAGGAAGGTAAGGCTCTCAAATTAAGAAAATTTGAATTTGTCTCTTTTTCAACTTTTCAAGGGGAAGTGAAAGCTGTGCCGGTAAATCCTGATGATTTGTTCAAATAAAATTTATTGGGAAAACACAGGGGTATCTTACCACATCTGTGTAAACGTGAAATGTCTTACATGAAAGGAAACCAAGATTTTTTTTTTGACATCAACGCTTACGTTTACATGTACGTATCCAGCACTGTCTCAGCCCACTTTATGAAATAACATATTATTGTTACTTTTTCAGTTTGAATAAATTTGTCAGCATGCTAGCCTGATTCTCAGACAGTCCAAGGTTGCTTGTGCAGACTCCCTCCTATTCAACTGGGTAAATTATAGGAGAGAGGAGAGAGTCTGGGTGAGCAATGTTAGACTGTCTGGGAATCATGCTATTAGAATGCAGAATTCTATAGAAGTTTCTGTTAACTTCAATTTTGACTGGTATACTTGTTACACAATGACATAATACAAAAAAAGATTCTGCTCTTTCAATTTTCCAACTCTCACAAATCAGCCATAAGGTTTTTCAAGAGTCTCCAAAAGGCAAGCCAAGCTAACGCGGTTTCGTGATGTCATTCTGTGCGAGAGTTTTTGTCCAAATGGCTTCCGACAAGTCTTTTAACTACCACTCTGGGATATGGCTGCTCTTGAGCCATATTATTTTGAGCCAAACATGCTTTTAACTCCAAAATGATAGTATTGAAGATTGTGAAGTGGATAATTGCTTGGAAAAAATAGATTTTGCTGACCTTGTGAAGGATGCCAAGTCAGTTGCAGGCTTTTCTCCTTCCCACCAATTTCGAGTCAGATAGAATGACATTATATAAACACGGCCTGGCTGCCAAGACAGTTTCAAACTGGCGGCCTCCAAAGTCACTTCTTTCGAGATGAATTTCTTCAGGGTAGTGGGCACTTCAGAGGCTGGAACTTCGGTGAGTGGAAAAGCTGAATGTTGACTTGCTATAGGCGAAGACATAAAAAGTAAGCTTTTTGGAGTGGCCTCCAAAACCTAGCTCCAAGATGTGTAGCTCACCTACAGAAAACGGCCATGGTTGGTTCAAACAAGGTTAAATCTTACATGCATGGAGTTATGTAGCTCGCTGATGGCAAATGGCTAGATTTGTGGTCACAACATAAATTTACTGATTCTATGGTTCTAAGAGTCAATTAATTAGGTCATATCCCAAAGATTTTTACTTATAATTTACACTGTAGAAGTCAAGACCTCATGCCTATCAAAGCAGCAATAATTACCATTCCCCATCAGACTGCAGCCACACAACATATCGGACACACTTCCTTATCTACTATTACTCCTAGTTTTAATATTTTATTCATCAAGGTAAGATATCTTTTCAGAATTTTTCTCCCAAAATCATGAGATTGGGAGGGAGGTTGGGAGAAAAGATAAAAGAATCATGAGACTCATGGCAGAATTGTGAGAGTTGGCAGGTCTGTTCCCTGGCATGTATAACTCATGATCTCACTATGGTGAAATGTTAAAAATAAAAAAAAAGTTGGAAGATTTTTTCATAGATGTTTTTAGTAATTAGTCATTCCAAAGGGGATTTCACCTAAATATTATATATACTGAGCTTTTGTTTTGGCCAAAAATAAGTGCCCATTTGAGAAGGATGGTTATAAGGTGGAGTCCTAATATATATTAGTATAAATCTACTAGCGTTCTATCACAAATGCCATTCTCTGATTGGCCGCCCTACTCCAGGGTCCAAAATTAACTTTTTTAGGCAGGTGCCAACTGGCAACTGAAATTTTTTTTCAGTTGCCATAAGGAAAAATGTGGTCACCAAAAAGTGTCAATAAAATTTTTCCTTCACAGCGAAACACAAACCAAACTTTTTGGTCACCACAGGCTTGCCGGCAAAATATTTGCAATCGATGTCATCAAGAATCAAACTAGTGCTGAAATCATCTTTTGGCCACTTTGACAGATCTAAATTTCCACCTTTTGACAGCCAGAGAATATTTAAATCTTCAACTAATTTCTTTGCGGATGTCCTGTCCCCACTTGGTAATAAATTATGGGAAGATTTCAGAACATCTTTGGACACCACCTTGCCTGGATAAATATTCATGGCGAAGGAACGCATGTGGCCTCTTGCGCCCCGCAATATGTATGTTATGGAAACCGCTGAAAAAACATGGCAACGAAGCTTCGCACTGATCGTAGCTGTGAAACGTTTTGGTAGATTTATAATAACAGGAAAATCGGTTTTATACTTCAAAAGCAGCAGAGAGGTAAAAAGTAAGTGACCAATTGGCAGGCGGCTTTGAATGTTATGTTAATTGATTTGGCTGAAAATCAAAGTTATTGTTTGTATAATTATCGTGGCATGAAATAGTTAATCGCCTGCTGATGACCAGTTGTGAAATTCTGGTCGCCAGTGCAAACTTTTTAGTCACATTGGCGACCAGGAAAGCACAATTTCGGACCCTGTACTCACTATCTATTCTGTGAGTAGCGTGGCAGTGTGCCCTTGTTAACAAAATGACAGCCACTTCTTGGCATTTTCAAAGTGTCTGAAGAGAAGTTAGATAAAGTTTTGAACGACTACTAGATTTATACTAAAACAATCTGATTATGAGCTCTCAATTTCTATGTGTGAAAGTTGACTTGGGCTGCCCCCTGGTCAACTATCACGCGATAGAAATTGAGAGCTCATAATCTAATTGTGTAGTAGAAATGGAAGTTTGGTAAGAAACTTCTTGCGATTTGAATTGTCCAAATTACCGTGTTCTAGAAAATCAGCCCTTGACAAGTTCAAATTATTTTTACAGCACTGTGCTGTTGATATCAACACAATTTAATCCGGTTTGTTAATCACAAGTATGATTACAGACTGAATTGGACGACGCGATGTCCTGTTACCAATTAATCAAAACTATGACAAAATTCAAGAAATGAACAAACCATCAATTGAGCGCTAAACGATTAAATGTTGTTATGAATGCTGAAAAACACAGCAGTTTACTCAACAAAGTGCACCGCAACAGTGCGCAAAAAATGACGCTTACTGTCCAATTACAAGCACGACGTGTACACTGTCCAATTTGTCTGTCCAGTTTGTTGTCCGACTCAAATCAGGCTGCTGATAGCCAATCACATTCGAGAATTTTGTTATAGTTTTGATTATAATAACAATAATAATAATAATAATAATAATAATAATAATAATGGTTTAATGATGACTTTTCTGAGTGATAATAAATAGCAATCAATCAGACCATTGAAACAGAACTCTTTAGTGCTTTGTCATGTTCAGATATCCCCATGTTAGGAAATAGAATTAAACACACAAAGAGGACTATGTGGAAGACTGTTGTTTGCAACATGATTGTCTTTTCTTTTGTTATGACTTGTTTACTTGAAGAATCACACCACTAGGTGAGCTGCATGTGTTGCATAGCTCTCAAGTTGAAAAATTTGAAGTACCGAAGCATATTAGACATAAGTATTTTCCTCAGTTGGGAGCTCTGTTTGATGGCAGTCAATGACACCCCCATTTGAATTTGCACACTAGCTAAAGGGTTTTGTTGTGACATGTTCCCCTAGATGCAATTGCCAGGATTTTAAGTCCATAGTGCCCATAAAGCCATGAACTGAAAAGCTGTACCTTAATTTCTACTACCTTCACAGCACCATGAAGAGATGGATAAGCAAGATAACGAACGAAGACAAGAGTTTAAGAAGCATGAGATGGAGAAAGAACACAAAAGAAAGGAACATCTGAAAGAGATGGATGAAAAGGCTCGCAAGGAAGAAGAGCTGAAATTTGAGGCATTGAGACAGAAACATCTGAATGCATCAAAGAATCTTCATCATCCAGTAAGTGATACCCTGTAGTTCTCAGGTAAAAATGAAAACTCTGCTCACAGATTACACTTCTTTTGATGACAGTTCTAAAAAATTAATTGAGGATTGCATGATCAAGACAATTTTACATGTGAACTATCCTTTGATACTTGCAACTGTAGTTACATTTGTTTGGCTATGAGATTAGGCTATTACAGTAGTATTTTTAATAATCTACTCGTTGTGCAGGGGAGTAAAGCTCAACTGGAACAAGTGTGGGAAGAAACTGATGGCCTAGATGCAAACGATTTTGAACCAAGAACTTTTTTCAAGCTTCATGGTAAATATTAAATAAAGCTTTACAGTTGAAATGTAAAGTGCAGTCAATGGAGTGTCTAGCCCTTGCTGGGTTGTTATTGTAAGTGTACAATTATAGGTACTTTAAACAATGTGACTGTATCTTTCCCATCTGAATTGTACAATGGTAATAATAGCTATTTTATTAAAAACTGGATCAGTGGATAATGCAATTCGAGCATTTTCATTGGCTTAGCCATCATGGGTTATGAGCCATTACACCATGCTCTACAATATGTAAGCATATGCATGATTTTTTGGGATGTTTTAATTTTTATTTTAGTCTAGTTGTCTATTCTTTGAGGGCGTTTTTGATAAAACAATTACTGCAGTCCCGCTTCTTGGATATGGAATGATTATAGCCAACTCATATCCAACTTGCGTTCATCACTGGAATAATTGTAAATTACATAGTCATGTTGCCACTCTGGGTTGTATATTGATGTCACTCATTTTTCCATTCATGTCACATTAAACTCTACACTAGCCTCTTACATTATACTTACCATCCTAGTGCTTTTCAGTGACACACTCATCTTTCGGATTATCAGTTATGTGCCACTTTTTTTATTCTTGCTGCATTTTGACTTCAAATATGATCAATTACTGAAAAGATACCGGGAAACATGGAATCGATTTCTTTATTTAATCTGCTGTGAGTTAATTATCTCTGTCAATGTTTTGTTTATCTTCCTAGATACAAATGGAGATGACTACTTAGACACGGGGGAATTAGAAGCTCTTTTTGTTAAGGAAGTAAGTGTACATGTAATCTACAAACCTGATGCATATACACTGTAAATTCTGAGATGCTATAGCAGTAAGAAGTAATACAACATATTGCCTACTGGGTTCTTACAGGTTTGGTAGCTCTCTAAAGCATAGATGTTAGTAAAATAATGTACATGCAGTGCTGACAGTTTTCCCTCCTGAAATCTGTCTTTAAAGTTCGTGCTTGAGCCTTACTCATGCAAGTTAGTTGAGTTAATCCTGCTTACGGCAATTCTTAACATTTACACAAGTTTAGTTTTGGTAGATGTCAATTATCTTCGCCCCTCTGCTGAATGAAATCTCAAGAAAATTTCTAAATGTGTTTGCAGGTGACATTCACAGCAGAATGTTAAACAAAACATTGAGTTTTGTAGATATCAATCTTCTGTCTTTCTGCTGAATGACATAATAATTTTATGAAATAGCAACAACCACTTCGAATTGCATGCCACTGG